AAAGTGAAAGGTCAGCCCGCATATCAATTACGTTGTCTCACATGAGAATTTGTGTATAATAAAAGCAAATAGTCGCCATATGAAATTTTCAAATATATATATATATATAGTAATGCTAAGGAGCCAACTGTTGGCTCCGTTACGGAGCCAACTGTTGGCTCCGTTACGGAGCCAACAACCAATGAGACAACTCCATGTGGGGCTGGTTCAAATAAAAACTAGTCCTGGTGTGAGAACCGCGAGAACCGTTTTTATACTATTTTTAATTGTGTATGATACTATTTTTCATATTAGATGATGCTATCATTTTACAAGTGCTACCAAAAATTGTGTTGTTATTTTTAACAAAATTCATCTTGGTTAAAAATAGCATCAATCACAATCAATCACAGCACTATGTCCAAATAAAAATAGCGATTCTCATGGTTCTCACACTAAGACTTGGTTCTCATTTGAACCACATCATATATATATATATATATATCATTTTTCTGCCCATTTTCTGAAGTTATTTTTAGTATGTTTGACGTATCATTTACTTGTGTTTTTGTAATTAATATTCTAATATTCAATAACAGTTGTAACGGTCATATCATAGAAATTAATATAGTTGCATACTTTGTTAATTTGTAAGTAAAACTATATTTTTTTTATGTATCCATTACAATATTGTAACTATATATATTCTTTATTCTAATTTTATATTTATTTAATATTTGAATTTTAAATTACTCATTCTTATTTTTGAAAATTTTAATTAGGGAAATCAAACAGATTTTTAAGGCAATTATTTGAAGTAAAGTAATATATAGATTTTGAATTTTTCTTAAGAAATAAATTTATCAAAATAAATCACAACCATATCAATTATTTTGTCTTTTCATTTGTAGAGATTTCATTATTAAAATAAATTATCCTACCTATTACTTCAGCCAATTTAATAATGTAAATTAATGTTATCAACTTATGGCATTTTTTATCAATTTTCATTCTAAATTAATTTTAAGTGTTGTAAAATACATAAAAAAAATTTATATTGGTCTATTAATTGAGATGCAATGGTTCTTTATTCTTTCTACATATTTTTGCAAATAAAAAAACAAAAACAAAAATAAAAACAAAAAAAAATGTAACAAGTGATTGTAATATTTAATAATGACTAAATATTTTTATAATAAAATAATACCAACATAAGTATTTAATTATAATTGGAAAATTACCTATGAAATAATCTAAATGTTCATACATTTATTATGCAAATATAGTATGTATATCATTTGTTCGATTGTTCTCTGAAAAAAGATCAATTTATATGGTAAATAAGATTTACGTTGTCTATTTTAAATTTATTACTTTTTTACTATGGTAATACTCTTATGTCTATTATTAATACAATATCAAATTGTAAAAAATTAGATTATTCATTATATTCATATAATAATAGCCATTAATGTATGGTAAATTCTACATTTCTATTGTTCTTTTTTTTATCGAAGTATACAAATTCAACTAAGGGTCTTAATGTAATTTAATTATAAATGCGCTACATACTATTAATTAAAATTTTATTTTATTTATGACTTTTATATATAATATTTATTTAGTTTTTGTAACTTGTGCATGTGCAAAGTATTAATACTAGTAACTAATAATAGCTGCATTGACTATATATATAATTCAGAACCTTTTATTTTTCGTTTTAAAATTTATCTATACTCTTGCATATTTAATACGAATCTATAAAACTATATTTTAACAATGATTTAACAATTGATCATTTTTAATATATACAAAGTGATCAATAATATTACAATCGCTTGTAATCAATCCAAAAGGTGATGGCGAAGGACTTGTTCAAAGTTGTAAAGGAGAAATATGGTCCAAAATTAGAGTCCCTTATCCACGACAAAATCACGGTGATAGCAGGCGACATTACACGTGATTATATGGGATTAAACGTATCCACTTTGGAAGAGCTTTACGAACAAGTGGAAATTGTCATCAATTTAGCTGCAACTACAGATTTTAATGCAAGGTATATAATATCTTAATTAGTATCATATTCAATTGCTTTGTTATTCACCTTTTCTTTTAATCAATTTAATTATTGGAAAGTCTTTCATTAATTAAGTGCTGGAATTTCATATAGAATTGCATTTTATAAAAGTTTTATGTTAGTATTAAATATAATCTACACAAACACACATACATCTAATAATATTAATTATTAACCTCGTTGTGTATTTATATTTTTGACAGATTTGACATTGCAATGGGGATCAATACTATCGGACCAGCTAACGTTCTGAGTTTTTGCAGGCAGTGTACAAAATTAAGGGTGTTGCTTCACGTATCAACCGGTATGTTTTATTTTTTCCAAATTAAAATGACTTAAATCTTATCTAATTAAGCCAACCAATATTCTTATTTATTAGCACATGACTATTGAATATGTGCGTATAATTGAACTTTTCAAATAAATAAACCAGCATACGTGTGTGGAGAGGAGGAGGGACTCGTTCTAGAGACGCCATTTAAATTTGGTGAGACACTTAACGGGACATATAATTTGGACATTTACAAGGAAAAAGAATGTGTTGAGGCAAAATTAGAAGAGCTTCGAGCACAAAATGCTTCAGAAAAATGTATTGCGTCAGCAATGAAGGATTTAGGTTTTCAAAGGTTTGACTTTAATCAAATTTAATTCTTTCGTATTATTTTTTTCTTTTAACGAATTGCACCCATTGAATTTTAAAAGAGAACTGATTTTTCCCAGATTTGTCATAAGAATTAAAATAATAAATCAAATAAATTGTACTTTATTGAACGGCCTTGACATTGGATTCAATGTGGACAGAGCAAGAAAGTACGGATGGCCCAATACATACTCTTTTACGAAAGCCATGGGGGAGATGTTATTGGGCCGTTTGAAAGAGGAAACGCCCATTGTCATTGTTCGGCCCACTATCATTACAAGTACATACAAAGAACCCTTCCCTGGTTGGCTTGAAGGAATCAGGTAACATTAGAAAAATAAAATGTGAATTAAATAATTTAATTACTGTAAATTTATTGAATATTGTTACATTTTTATTTTACAAAAATTCTTGATAATTATTGAATTATGAATTCCGGGTAGTTTATTAATTTATATTCACATATTTTCACAAATGCAGACATATTGACAGCTTTGTGATGGGATATGGGAAAGGCAAAATGACATGCTTTCCTGGTGATCCTCAGAGTATAGTAGACTTAGTGAGTTGCAATAATTTTTTTTTTTTTTTTTTCCNATTTAAAATCCTTTTACTATATTTTTTTCAAAAAATTGTAATTGGAAACTAAAACAAACATGTATAACTATTTTGCAGATCCCAGCTGACATGGTGGTGAATGCAATGTTAGCATCAATGGCAGCCCACTCAAACGAGCCAGGCGAGATAATTTATCATGTGGGGTCCTCAATGTCGAACCCGATTCACTACAGTTGTCTTCAAGATTACGGCTTTTGCTTTTTTACCGAGAGGCCATGGCTTAATAACGATGGCAAGCCCGTTGTTGTAACGAAAATGAAAGAGTTGAGTACCATTCATGCTGTCGAAAGATACATGCAAATACACTTCTTCATTCCTCTAAAGGTTTGTGCTCAAGTTTTGGATATATATATATATATATATATTTTTTTTTTTTCAATTCTTAAGACAACGAATCGCAACTTGGTAGTAAGACGCTTTATCTATGACCGATAGGTCATGGGTTCGAGTCACTAAGAAGATTAAGTTGAAACACTATTAATTCTTCGTTTTAGAAAAAAAAAAATGTGGCTGCAAAAGATTTGCACAATTACAATTCTAGTCACCTAATTAATTAGTACAACAAAAATTCATGGTCTTCATCATGCACAAGTTTATGGTAATAAATTGAAGCTAACTATAATAAATATAATTGATCACCTTACCTAGATTTTAAGCCTTGTGAACACCGCAAGCTGCCAATATTTTCAAGCGACCCACATTGATCTATCCCGAAGGGTCAAGTTCTTGAAGCGGCTTGTAGAGCTGTTTAGCCCATATGTCTTCTTTAAGGGAGTGTAAGTGATTAAAATTCAAAACTTCTCTATATATAATAATCTTTAAGGCCTATATCTATAGTCATGTTCTATAGTTATTATTTTTTTTCTTCAGCTTAATTATCTGAAAGAAAAATGGTTCTCCCTTTCCCTGCAGCTTTGACGACATGAACACTGAAAAACTGAGGATGAATGCCAAGGAAAGCATCGACTCTACTGAGAATGAGATTTTCTACTTTGATCCAAAGTGCATAAATTGGAAGGATTATTTCATGTATACTCATATTGCTGGTGTGGTGAAACATGCTTTTTAGATCATATTTAAAAAAAACGAAAGTATTGGAGTTTGTTAACATTATAACTATTACGTAATTCGTGTGATGCACGTGTTGTATTTGTTTTTGTAAAATTTATAATTAAAGGTTATTAATCAATAAGTTATAATACGTAGAGCATTTGTCAGGTAATTTAATCATAAAATGTTCGTCATGAAAATGTCATACATTATTAAAAACCTTCTACCTAGATTGCTCTCCACTTGGTAATTGCGAATTGCATTGAAACCTCTTTCCTCTAATTCTTTATTGATTTTTGGAATGTTAACACCACAAAATAAAATTATAGACAAAAATATGTAAAATTGTGATAAATACTAAATATATAATTTATCGGGTGAAGTTTAGTTATAGAAAAATTGTTATCTTAAAGTGTTGATTTTTAGTATATTTTTTTGTTTCAATCATTCTCATTTTTTATACTAAATTCATTCTAATATTGAGAACATTTTCGTTTTTGTTATATTTTTAATAGAGATTTGAAATTTTGATTATATCTTTTGTAAAACAATATTCACAAAAATAAGTACATTAAAAAAGAAAAACAATAACGGTATTTTATCATTTGTAGGTCAAAACTAACTAAATGAATCGGAGGACATGTAAATCACAATTTTTTAGGGAAAAAATATTTCAAAAATAAGTTGATCTGCGTAAATCTAAATTTCATTTTGCATGATCTTGTGTATATTTCTTTTGAATAAGGCAATCATTTTTTTTGCTTGGATTCATAATGTGTAACTTCTTCATGTGATAAATAAGGATATGCAAATCGTATCTTTTGTATGTGGAAGATGAGTTTGAATGCTTATCGTGTATCTTGAAAATTTGAATGTTATTTATTCAAAAAAGGTTTGCTAAGATTTGCATAGAAATGGTCGAACTCTTGTAGTTATTTATATCGCACTTTTATAGCTTATTTAAAAAAAAAATTATAAAAATAAAATTGGGAATATGACATGTCTAATTTCATTGCAGTTTTAAATTATATTTTTTTTAAAAAAAATTATATATATGTTATCCAGAATTAGAATGAACTTTTATTTTTTTAATTGGTGATTTTCAATAATCTGCTAAAAAGAAAAAAAAATTACACTCAACAAAATAGTTACCATAAAAAATAGAATAAGATATCATTAAAATAATTTGATTTTAAATAAATTCAAAATGTACACAACACAGAATCCTAGAATATTTTTTTTACAACAAAAATCGAGAATATGGCATGACAAACAGCAACTGAAATGATGACAATGCATTTAATGCTTCTTTTTTATTTTTATTTGAAAACACTTAAAAGGAATATAAATCTTACTTTTTTAGTATGTAATTAATAATTTTGGTGGGAAAGTCTTTCTAAAAAACACAAATTTCTTAGAAACAAAAAACGCAAATTTTGAAAACACTTAAAATTAGTTTTTTGGTCAGAGGACCAAAAAANGCATTTTAAAAAACATAAATTTCTTAGGGCCAAAACCAAAAGGTGGTCTGTTACGGAACTAAAAAACATATTTAGCCAATCATGACCTAAATATGCATTTCTTATTACCTAATTATGCATGATCATGATGAATGAACTAAATATGCATTATGAACTAAATATGCATTTCTCATTCTCAATTAAGTATGCATTATTTATAATTAAAATATGCATTTTGTATCATCTAAATATGTTCAAGAAATAAACTAAATGTGTATTAATTTTATAATATAAAAACTCAAGGGCCCTATTGTAGTTATTCAAACTATAAATAAATTAAAAATGAAACCCAAGAATCTAATTGCAATAACACATAAGTTTATGAAATTGCAATTAAAACCCTCAGAATTTATCTACTTTTCATAAGCAATCCCCTACCCCAAATCAGCCCCAAAAATCCGTCCTTTCCCCCGCCGTGAGGATGTCGAGGAAGAGATTGTAGAGAGTGTTGGCCTCCGACCTGGCTTCCTCCATCATCCGCGGCCACATATCGCCGCCGCCCTTTCGATTTTAGGGGTTTTGCAGGTTTTTTGAGATGGAGGCCTAAGCAGAATCAGGCGGGTTTTGGTGGAAGCACCGAACGCAGCCGTCGACGACCGTGAGATTCGACAGGATCGACATTGGTGCTTCAGCCTCGGGGGAAGCGATGAGTGACGAGGGAACTGCGACCTCAGCATGTCGAGTCGGCAGGGGAAGCGACCTCAGCCTCGACGCCTTTAGTCAGTAATATTGGCGTCGGCCAGAGGGGACCACGAGGCGGCGAAATCCAGCTGTAGAGGCTGGGGCTGACTGGCTGTAGTGGCTAGTCGAGCATGCCGGCCGGAATACGTGGTTATCGGCACTGATAACACTGGTCAAACAGATTATTTATAATATATTTATTTTAAATATAATAAAATTATTTTTATTATATAACTAATATATATTATAATTTATTAATATAAGCCATTGATTTAAAAAAAATCGGGGTAGAATTATTTTTGCCACTTAAGGGATCTTGATCTAATAAAAAAAGGTCTTGATTAAACCACAAATAAACTAATTAAACATAAATTTGATGAAGAAAAATTTCAATGTTGTAATAAATTTAAACATGGGAAACTAGGGCTTTTAAACAGTTTTAGGCGGCTAGTCGTTCTTCTCCTGCGTACAGAACCATGAGAATCCTCTCAACCACCTCCATTCTACTCGCTAACGCCAAATCCAAATTGAAAAATTTCCCCGAAAATTTCAGGTCTACAATTTTCCATCGTTTTCCCGCCTTCGGTGTCAGTACGCCGGCGCCGGCTTCGGCTCCAGCGCCATCCCTTTCCCCCAATTTGAAGCATGACAACAACAAAAATCTCATGCTTATGGTGCGATGTGCACTCAACGGAACCTGCGATTACTGCGTAATCTCAACGGACAACAATTCGTTGCGAGTGGTAACAGATAGTCTTCCCAACTTATCTCTACTCAGAGCTGAAAATTACCATCCACGGTATCAGAACGCCGATTACATCGTTCGAGCGTGTTCCAACAGCAAATGGATGTTGCTGACGTGTCAGAAATTGCCCGGACCTCCGTACGAGCTTCTTTGGGACCCAACAACCGACGAGATGAAACGGCTTCCCCCTTCTTCAATTTGGCCTCCCCCATCTTCACCAGAATTCTCTTTCTGTTTGTGTTTGGGCGTGGGGTTTGATCCTCGTGCATCTTGGGACTATAAGGTTGTAAGATCTTACCTATTAAAGTATGAAGGTTTCTATGAAATTCGCTCCGAGGTGTGGTCCCTTAGAACTGGATTGTGGAAGGAGATTCATTATCCTCATAGTGTTAAGTTCGACCCCGATGACAACCGTGCTCTTCACATAAATGGCTTCTATTACTGGCTATGTTATGACAGGCCCAGGAAAAGTTATTCTATTATTCAGTTTGACTTTGCTAATGAAATGTTTCTACCTGCCCTTATCCCTGTTCCCCAAAGCCAAAAGCTTGGGAAGAATGTGAAAGTTGTTCCTGCTGAGTTTCACGGCTCACTTGCGGTGGTTGTTTATGATTTTGTTCTGGAGACGACAAGTGTTGTTTCTGCGAATGATGAGAAGAAGTGGCCTTGTTTCGAGATTTGGGTATGGAATGGCGGGTGGTCCCTTGTGGATACGTTTGACGTTTTTGCTGGTGCTCATGCTCTCGTTACAGTATTGGGTCTCTACAAGAATGATAAAGCACTCATTCAGGATTGCAAGGGTTACCTGCTGCTTTACGATTGTAAGACTCGCAAGTTGGAGAATCTCGGCATCCATGATCAAGCATGTAACATGCGGGTTTTCCCCTATGGTAAAAAAATAAACCAGAGCTCATTGACCCTATGGTTTGGTGGCCTCTTTCTTTGTTCGAGTGTCATTTGTGGCCATCTTATTAGCTATGCGTAATGGCCCTTTAGCCTATTGTTGTTCCACCTTGACTGCCCGTGTATTTATTGCGGTTTCTTTTAGTTCAATGATGTTTACTTATATGCATACAGCATCTTCTTTGCTTATTTAAGTCCCCTCAACCCCCTCGTGGGGTTTTAAGTTTAGTGAATAATACTTTAATGTTTCCTGTGTGACAAATTGTGGCTGGCAATGATATGAGAAGAGTTATGATTCCCTTTGAGGTTTGAATGATCTCAAGTTGGAAAAATAATCCACCATGTGAAATGTGTTGGAAAAATTTAAGCCAAAAAGTAGAGAAATTCTTTTTAGTAATTTAAGGGAAAACAAATTCAATGACAAAAAATTAGTCAAAGATAAAAATTAAGAAGTTTGAGTTTAGATAAATCTCAATTGAATATACTCACTTTAGTTGATGTTTATTAATACTTTATATTTGGTATATTAATACTANTAAATGACGTTTTGGATCTTTTGTATATATTTTCCTATTATTACCCACATCTAGCTAATAATACACTACGTCTTTTCATATTCACTATTTATCTTTTATCAAAACATCCATCTCTATCCTCATTAATGAAGGTTATTATTTGAAAAAAAAGATTCTTAATTACTGTGCAACTTCTCAAAACGACACTTATTGAGTAGTATTTTTTTATGCAAATCTTAAATAAACCACAAATAAACTAAATAAAAATTTAATTAAAAAATATTATAAATTTATAATAAAAATTTATTTTTTTCATTAAAATTGTTTTCTTTTTTATTAAAATGTTCATATTTTCATAATTTCGTTTAAAAAATTGAATAAAATGCACATTAGACTATATTTTTTTCAGCATTGGGCCTCCTGCACAAACTGGTGGTTTGGGCCGGTAATCTTTCACTTTTTGGATCTGTTAAAATTAAACTGAGGGCTTTCAAACAGTTCTCTGCGGCTACTCGTCTTCACCCGCTTACGCCAAATCCTCTCAACAACCTCCATTCTACTCGCTAACGCCAAATCCAAATTGAAATTTCTCCCCCAAAATTTCAGATCTACTATTTCCCATCGTTTTGCCGTCTTCGGTGGCAGTACTGCGGCGCCGGCGGTTTCCCCCAATTCGAAGCATTACAACAACGAAAAACTCATGCTTATGGTGCGATATGGACTCAACGGAACCTGTGATCACTGCGTAATCTCTAAGGACAA